TTCTTCCCTTATATTTTGCCACAAGTTTCTTTTTTTGCCCTTTTTTACTACTAAATTGTAACTGAACCCGATTGTTGGGATTTGTCTTTGGTCCAGTTCTGACTAGGGTGCCTTGGAACTGGTGAGAGAGTGTTCTTGGAGTAGGGCTTGGTGTTCCCAGAACCATGGAGCCTCCCCAAAGATATCCAGATTACCTCCAGTGTTCTTCCTAGAAGTGTTGATGTCACTAGTGGGATGATAACCATAATGAAACTTGATGGAACCAATTTCCTTGAGTTGTCCCAATCAGCTAAGCTTACTATCAGGGGACAGAGTAAGCTAGGATTTCTCACGGGCAAGGAGACTAGACCAAAACCTGAAGATCCAAAGTTTGCCAAGTGGGAATAAGATAATTCTTTGGTAATGTCATGGTTGGTATGCTCAATGCAACCACATTTAGCCAAGAATTACATGTTTCTCTCTACAACGAAACATATTTGGGATAGAGTGACAGCCACCTATTCCCATGTCAATGCAACCACATTTGCCTAACACAAGGAACTCTAATGGGTGGCCCATCTCCTTTTAGGTTCAAAAACATGTGGTTGGAAGATCCCAACTTTGTGAAAAAGGTCAAAACTTGGTGGCAAGAATTAGGTAGGCGAGGCTCAAAGAAAGGGTTAGCTTCCTTAGGAGACTAAAGAAACTAAAGGAGAAATTAAAATCTTGGAACAAGGATCTCTTTGGTAAAGTAGAGGAGCTTAAAGAAAGAATCATTTCAAGGATTGAGGAGTTGGACAAGAAAGAAGCTCTTAGAAGGAAGAGATGGAGGCTAAAGTGTCAGCTGGGAGAAGTTCTAAGGAAGGAAGAGATTTCTTGGAGACAAAAGTCTAGATGTAACAGGCTCTTCTTGGAAGGGGATGGAAACACAGAATTCTTCCATTCTATAGCTAGTGGTAAAAGGAGAAACTACCTAATTTCTAGGCTAGAAGTGGAAGGCCATGAGGTAACCAGAGAGGAGGAATCTATTAAGATTTTTGTAGACCACTTCAAGGGCATTTTCTTGAGCCTTGGGGAGAGAAGCCCTGACCTACTGGATTTTCAGTGGGATAGAGTGCCTGAAGCCTTGGCAACATCTTTGGAGAGTGTTTTTACTGTTGAAGAAATTAAAGAAGCTGTTGGGCTAAAAACTAGGAATGAGGCATATTGAGGTTGAAGGGGACTCCAAGGTGATCATCTCTTGGGCTAAAAACAATAGAACTACTTCGTGGACTTTCAAACAAGTGATAAGGGAAGTGGAAAAGGTCGCAAGGGAGATAGAGGCTGAATTCAAATGGGTTAGAAGGAGTGCAAATGGGCTAGCTGATTATCTTGCTAAACAAGGGGCTTTGAGGCAACAATTGTTTTGGGCTGCAACATAAAGAGGGACAGAAATATGTAATAGTGTGGGAGCTCGAATCCCATACACAAAGTTGTAAAATTTTTAACTCTAATCTCAAATAAAATTCTCCTTTGCTGATAAAAAATAGAAATTAAAGAAGCTGTTTTCTCAACGAAATGATCTAAAGACCTAAGACTGGATGGTTTTTTCCTAGAATTCCATCAGGAGTGTTGGGACTTTATAAAAGAAGACTTGTTAGAAGTCTTTAGTTAATTTTATTTTGAAGGGGATTAAGGAATAAATCAATATTCATTGCCCTAATCCCCAAGAAGAAGGAGGCAAAAGTACCAAAGGATTTCAAACCAATAAGCTTAGTGGGAAACCTCTATAAAATCATCGCAAAAGTTTTAGTTGGGAGGTTAAAGAAAATCTTACCACCAGTAATCTCACAACATCAAGGTGCCTTTGTGGAAGGGAGACAAATTATTGATCAAATTCTGGTGGCAAATGAATGTTTAGCACAGAAGAGAAGGAGAGGGAAGGGTGTGGAGTGTAAACTGGATTTATAGAAGGCATATGACTTGGTGGATTGGTCTTTTCTCCTAAAAATAATGGAGAAAATTGGAATGGGGGAGAGATGGAGGAGGTGGATTAAGGGTTGTTTAAGCTTAACGCATTATTCTATACTAATTAATGGTGTGGCAAGAGATTCCTTTCTAGCAAAAAGAGGTTTGAGACAAGGGGATCCTCTATCTCCCTTTCTTTTCACCCTAATTTCTAATGTTCTAAGTAGGTTGATTTTGAAGGCTGACCAGAGCAATCTATTTAAAGGTTGGAGGGTAGGAAGACTTGAGTTGGTAGTCACACATTTGCAATTTGCAGATGACACTGTTTTATTCTGTGAGGGAGCCAGTCAATAAAATAAAAAGAATTTGAGAGAGCTTATCAGTTCCTTTGAATCTGCTTCCAACTTAAAGATAAATTGGGGAAAGACTTGTATAGTAAGGATCAACTTAGAAGAAAAAAAACACATGAGTGTTAGAGAACTTTATAAGGGATTTCCTTTGGGATCCTAGGATAAAAAAGGGACCACCTAGTAAAATGGGAACAAGTTAGAAAAACAAAGAAAGGGGATCTAGGAATAAGGAACCTTATCCACAAGAACACATCTATTTTAGGAAAAGTGGCTTTGGAGGTTTCTAGTGGAAAGTGACAAGCTATGGCACAAGGTTATTGACAGCATTCACAGGCAAATGAACGATGGTTAGGATGTAATGGTAGCTTCTTCTTCTACCTCAAACTCTCTTTGGAAAGAAATTCAAGAGGTATATCCAGCCTTTTTTAACTTCATCGAATTTTATGTGGGATGTGGTTTAGGTTCCTCTTTTGGGAAGATCTCTAGTAGGGTGAAACTCCATTCTGTTCTCTATTCCCTAAACTTTATTCAGTGTCTAACTATAAATCTCAACCAATTTCAAACTTTGTTTCCTTCTCTCAATCAGGATTGTGTTGGAACTTTGGTTTTAGGAGGGAGTTAAAGGATAATGAATGTGAAATAATTTATTCAATTGCTAGACAAGCATAAGTCAGCCTTCTTGGATCAATCTATTGAGGACACTAAGGTTTTCTCCACCTCTTCTGACAACATTTTTACATGTGCTTCTTTTTCAATACCCTTGTGCAATATTCTAGTGGAGGAGAGAATTTTGCAGTGAAAAAGATTTGGAGTAAGCCCATTCCACCCAAAGTTCAAGCAATGTGTTGGGATGCTTTTTTTTTTTTGGAAAGGTGAACACCTATGACATGCTACAAAAGAGGAAGCCAAATAAATGCCTATCCCCTCACGCTTGCTCTCTTTGTTTTGCTAATGGTGAATCCCTTCCCCATTTATTGATCTTTTGTCCTTTTGTGCTCTATGTTTGGGAGTCTTTTTGTTCTCTCTTTGGTTACAAGTGGAGCTCTCCCCAGGATGTAATGAGCCTTTTCAGCTCAAACTTCTTAAGGCAGCCAACAAAAAGAGGTCGATCTATGTGGAAATCATTTAGGACAATGGTGGTTTGGATTGTTTGGGAGGAAAGGAATGCAAGGATATTTAATGAGAAGTACAAGCCAAAGGAAGAAATTGTGGAAATTATAAAGATAGGAGTAGCACATTGGGTAAAAACTCTTGAGCTCTTTCAAAAGTTCTCAATGACCGGTATAGTAAGGGCATGGAATGAAGTAGCATCCCCCCCCAAACTAGAAGAAAGAAAGGTGATGGAATAGAAGCCCCCAGATAGCAACAAAATCAAGCTAAATTTTGATGGAAGATCTATAGGAAACCCAGGTTTGGCAGGCCTTAGTGGTGTGTTTAGAGATACTTCAAGCAAAGTATTGGCAATGTATTCAAGTCCTTTGGAGGTGGGTGACTCTCAAAAGGGTCAGTTAGAGCTGCTACAAGGTCTAAAACTTGCTAAACAAGCTGATTTTAAAAACTTGGAGGTTGAAGGGAAATTGAAAGGTTGGGAAGGGAAATTGAAAACTTGGGAAGGGAGCTCAATGTATTCAAGTCCTTTGGTTACAAGTGGAACTCTCAATAGGGGTAATGTTCCTTGGATTTATAGACACTCTTTAAGAGAAATTGAAAGCTTGGGAAGGGAGCTCAATACCTCTTTTACTTGGATTAGGAGGACTGCCAATGGGATGGACAACTCTTTAACTAAACACGGGGTTTACAGGCAGCAGCTTTTTTGGGCTGTTTTGTAATATGTTGTTGGGCATAGTTTGTATTTCTGTTTTTCTATAACCTGTTTCACTCAATTATTAATAAAATTCATCTTCTTGCTGATCAAATAAAAGTCTAAAAGAGGCCCAATTCCATATTGTTAATTCCCACAACATAGATGCAGATTAGGCTGTTTGCATTGGTGATAGGAGATTTACATCTGGGTATTGTGCATTGGTTGTAGGGAATCTTGTTCCTTGGAGAAATAAGAAACAATAAGTAGCAGCTAGGTCCTCAGAAAAGGCAAAGTATAGAACTATGGCACATGGTGTGTCAAAGTTGATATGGCTTATATCTCCCTTAGAGGAATTGGGCATTCTTTATGATAAGCCAATGATGTTATATTGTGATAATCAAGCAGCTATTAACATTGCCCACAATCCTATTCAACATGATCGAACAAAGCATATTGAGGTAGAAAGACACTTTATACAGGAGAGATGTGCACTTGGTGAAGTATGTCTATGTTTCATTGCACCTAAAGAACAGTTAGCAAATGTTCTCACCAAGGGAGATTAGAAGGCAAAGTTAAGAACAATGTGTAAGCAAGCTAGGCATTAATGACATCTATACTCAACTTGAGGGGGAGTGTAGAGATGATAGGCCAGATGCTAGCAGTTCTTAGAGGGCCTCTTTCATTTTACTTTATGTTAATAGGCCTTATCTTATATGGGCTTATTAGTTATTTATCTTTATGTTTATTGAGTTACCGACCTGTTAAGGGTGTTTATGTAATTTAATAATCATTAGTGTGGATCTAATATAAGTATCAATTAGGTGACTGGAGAAAGATAAAATTCTCTCTTCTCCATCTCCCTTTTCTTCCAAACCACATTCAAAGATAAAATTCTCTCTACCAAATGCTGCACTACTTACTTTCTATAATCACAATTTTTCCAGTGGTACTGCATCCCTATCCTTTGCAGAAATCCATGTTCCTTCATTTTGTTCCACTCATCTTCAGATGGAAAAGTAACATGAAGTGATGAGACCTGGAACTATCAGAAGACACAATAATCATGGTTAATGCTCAAATGTTTAGTGGCTTGACAAATTACAATGATGACCATTCAAGGCTATCATAAATTTGACTAGAAGTGCCCAAAACAAACTCAAATCAGTTATAAGAGCTAAAATAGATATTACACACTATGGATTGGGTATCAATATTGGAAGATTTCAAAGACATGATATGGACAGTGTCTAGATTGTTTATGCATCTTTTGTATGGTTTGTCTCACTCTGTATGTGAAAGGAACTCTACCATATATATTTATCTATTACATATCATTGATAATACTACTTATTATCAGTTTGGAAAACAAGGATTGTTTTAAAGTAATGACATGCATAATAATATAGGAAAGGAACTTCAATAACCCTCAGCACATTAACCATATGAATGAGAAAAATTCACATACTTCCAAAGTTATTTAGTAAACTTATAGTAAATCCATGGACCATATACTCCCTTCTCCAGCAACCTTTGACTATTCAATTCTTTACTTCAGGCAAATACAAGACTTGAATTCAATATTTAATAAAACAAGGATCAGACCGTAAATTAGTACCATGAAAGAACTATAATCTGTAAATGTTGCACATTAATTAATACTATGTAAGACTATTCACTTTGTTCAACCTCCTGACCACAATAATAAGAAAGGACTTTCAATCATGTCAAATCTAAGTAGACAACAGATGGGGTACAAAGAAACCACTACAAAGTTGCAAATACATTGACCTTTTGCTCAAAAAATAAGGGTAAATTACAAATACCCTACCTTGAGTTTTCAAATAATAACAAATACTCGCCCCAAGTTTCTAAAATTACTATATGCTTACCCCAAGTTATTTGATGGTTATAGATGCCCTCACTTTGTCAAATTCACATGATATATTTAGACTGTCATAATGATAATTTTAACTTTGCCAATATTGGATCAAGAAAAACCCTGCCAATTATATGGTGCCCTTAAACCTTTTTAAGGGCCAAACTGCCCTTTTTGTTACATTGTTTGGACACTTTAGATTAAATAGTTACATCTTTCACTTTACTTGTCTGTAGGACATTTGTCTTAAGGTAAAAGGATATTGAAACTGAACAAATTGAAGATGATAGAGTTATTTTGCCTTTTGGTGATCATATATCAAACATGAAAGACCAAGGACAGTATTCGTAATATACTAATCGGAGGCATAGTTGACATTTAGAATAAAGATTCAGTATATATGTCAAATTTACTGGTACATAATGTCATTGTGCATTTTTCATTAAGAGTGTCTACTTCTGAGTTCTGACTAGAGGGGTAATTGTAATTTCAGAAACATAGGGTGGGTAATCTATTATTGTTGGAAACCCCAGGTAGGGCATTTGTAGTTTACCCAAAAAGTAAAATTAAAAAGACTAGTTATATCCTTCAAATTGGTTTCCTTACCTTAGCTGTCATATCCTTCAATGCAGATACTATCTTGTCAAAAACCTGTTCTTTGTACCAGGTGTTACGGATTAATATCCTCTTACCAGTTACAGGAGTAAATGGTACACAACACTGCAATTTTGGATAATATCTAGATCCATAACTATAGTAAGCATCTGCCCAGGAATGATCAAAGACAAATTCCCCATAAGAGTGGCTGCCAAGAGAAAATTTAAAATAACTGAGATATTGACAACCTCAAAATAGAGAAAGAACTTTAGAGCAAAAACAAATGCAGTGTTGTCAAAGAATTCCAAGGACATGATATTTTAACAGTATAGAAGATGATAAACCTTTTAAGATAAAGTGGAACAACACCTATGATATTCTTTAATTCATCCTGAGCAATGATGTGACGTGGTAACCATCCTGTCTCCTGAAATACAAGTGGGGGAAAAGTGTAAGGTTTGGGTTAATGCTTTCAAACCATATACAAAGGATATGCCCAATGTGAAGCTCAGGGAAAATGCCCCTAGGCTCAACCTTGAAGCTCATGCCTGAAACTGTAATGCATATACCTCATGCCTTGAGATACCTTACGTGTATGTCTAGATATAACTACATGCATGCCTATGCTTATGCTTATGTGTATGTATATCTGATTATATCTATGCTTGAGCATATTTAAAGAGGTACTATTTTACATTTAAAGCTTCTTAATAGTGATTAAATGATTTGTAAGTGTTGAAGTTTGACCTGCCATAGAATTCTGTCTTGTTCGTTGACTGTAGAGTAAAGTAGACAGCAAGAAGTAGGAGAGGAAAGAAGAAAAGAGAGAAGAGAGAAAAGAGAGAAAGGCTGGTTCGAATTAGGGAAAAAGTTGATCCCTTGATTCGGCCAGACCTAT